CACACACACACACACACACACACACACACACACACACACACACACACACACCCATGACCCTGGGCAGGGGGTGGGCTCACTTACTGTGTTAGCACCTTGGCCTTCCTCTCCCCATAGCTTTCCCAGTACTCACGGTGACATTTTTCAAGCTCCTTGGTGGCTGAGGCCCGGATCTGAGCTTCTGGCAGCTCACGGCTGTGTCCGTAAATGTCACTTTTAGATTAACCAGGCCCTGCTGTTTAAAAATATCCCCCAGAGCATTTAACCTTCACGGCCCTGACTGGCAACAGTGACCTGGGCAGGACAGAAAATGATCCTGCAGCGGACTCCCGGGCTGCACCTGACTCCCAGGGAACTCCTCCACCCTCAACCCCACGGCTCACTTTATTATTTCAAAATTCCCAGAGACTTCAGCAGCCATCGGAAGCCGGGGTGTCATAAGCAATAGGAGGAAGGGTCACTCTGGCCTGTGACATTTTCTGGTCATTAGAGAAGAGAGTCCCCAGCGAGAGGGGAGGGCCTCCCAAGATGGTCTGGCATCAGGAGGTTCAGGAGACCCTCTGCAACCATGCCCTGTTCGTGAAATATTTCTAATATTTCCCAGGACTTGGGGATTAAAAAACAAGGCTGCCTTATTTGGGATTAGCTAGCTCGGGATAGAGCTGCGCACGACAGAGGAAGCCAGCCCATGCTGCGGTCACAGAGTGTTCCGAGACATGTGGGCCAAAGGTCGCCTCCAGGTCCCAACCAGAACTGGCCGTAGCCAAGGAATCGGAAGCCACGTGCCAACACTGTGTTCAGGCAAAGAGGGGACAATAGTAGAGTGGTCCCGAATTCTGATCCCAAGGCTCTGCTATGTTATAAAGCCCGTAGGGAGCACGGAGTCAGCACAGGAAGGTTCTGGAGGCTCTGCTATGTTATAAAGCCAGCGGGGAGCACGGAGTCAGCACAGGAAGGTTCTGGAGGCTCTGCTATGTTATAAAGCCAGTGGGGAGCACGGAGTCAGCACAGGAGGGTCTGGCTACTCTTGGGACACCTGCTACCCCACCTGCACTACATCACTTGTGGGCTTATTTTCCAGTTAGGAAAAATCAACAAAGACTGGGTTTCTTGCAGGTGGTGGGGTTCTCCAACGGACCTGGGAGCAGGAAGCGGACTTTGAGCCATTATCTTGTCCTCTGCAAGCTGCGGCGTCACTGGCCATAGACCTGTGCCACAAGCACACAGCCGGGAATGGAGAATGCAGTCAGGGGCTAAGTGCACCTGACGCTGCAGCCGCCTACCCTCGTTCCTGAGCTGTTAGAAGAGGTTCGCTGGAAAGTGCATCTCCTGGAAAGCCGCGTGTGACTGAAGGCATTTCAGATAACCCCCTCAAACACTTCCTTCTCAGGCTGAGGGTGCAGCTCTTGCTTAGTGTTTCCAGGGCCCTGGGCAGTCTCCCCGCCCTCCTCCCTTCCTTCCCGGTGACCTTAGAGTTATGATCTAGGCAGAGGGTTGACAGTGGCAAGATCATTGAGCTCTGTCATCGGGCTGACGTGAGTTCAATCCTCGCTCAGTTATCCATGACCCTGAGGTTGTGTGTTCTCACCTGCCTTTTCACCATGTGGTTGAAAAAAAATGATAATGCTAGGATCCCAGCAAAATGGTTTGCTTGTCACCCCCACTCCCACCCCGTTGTCTCTGGTGTGCTTTACAGGGACAGAGTTGAGACTGTAGCCCACTCGGAGTGTAACTCACACAGCCCAGGCTGTCCTGGAACCTGTGGAAATCCTCTTCCTCAACCTCTGTGGGGCTGGATGACAGATGTGACCCCCACTTGGCTGACCCTTCTAACCAACTACTTCCTGTCAGGGATGGTGCCTCACTCCCGTGATCCCATACAGAGGCCGGAGTGCTGAAGTTTCAGGCAAACCCCAGGTCTACACATTGGGTTCCAGGACAGCCAGAACTACCTCATGAGACCTTGTCTCAAAAAAAAAA